ATCGCGGCTGCCGTCGCGAAGTGAATGCGCATGAGCAGTTTTTTTTAGATTTTCTGTAATTCTGAAATATTAGAATAAAGACGTAATTTTTTAACTTGTAGTAAATATGTGTTTCATATAGCGGACGATTTATCACTCAGGCCAGATCCACCCCCTTTGGTAATAGTGCGAATAAACAGAGATAAAAGGTTCTTTATTGATAATTAATAGCTCTGCTGATAACTTAGCCTGGATCACTAGATTGGTGTGGATACCTGGATTTTAACAGGCGGTCCACTAACCCTCCAGAGATGAAACCACAATCCCTGGTAAGTAAGTAAATTACAGCTACAATTATTCAACTAAGAACACTAAATTAATTTCACCTCCGATTTTGAATAGGTTAAATAATCAACTATAACTCCAGTTCTAGTTAATCATTATTCATTATCTGCAGGATATTATTTTGCACAATACAAGTCAAGTCAGCTTTTATTGTCACTTTCTTCATAATTACAAGACATACAAGGGAAATGAAATTACGTTTACTCTCTAGAAATATACAAATATACAAGAAATATACAAGAGTGACATCTAAAAACTGACATAAAGTGCGGGACATGACAGGTAACAGTGATAAGACAGAAAGAATAATAAGAAGAATGAAACATAAACATTAGCAGCTGAACCTCTGTGGTCTTCCTGACATTAAGGTCTTGTGAAAAATATTATTCAAGATCTCCTGGTTGTCCAACCCAGTTGTCCTGTACTTCCCAATAGTAAATACAATTTTCTGTTCAACAGCTTTTTTCAGCAGTTTCAGCTGTTAGATGTGCTGTTTGGGTGGTTTTCTGATATGACCGTCAAGGATGTGGACGTTTTTCCTATCTTGCAGACTGAAATGAAGAATTGAAGCAAAAGCCACCCCAAAAATACAATAAATACATTTAAATGACTTTTTTGTGACTTTGAGATATCGATTAACAGTAAAGGGTTTTAGCATCTGTTTCCATTGTAGATGCAAAGAACTTTTCTTTGGGCCCCAGTGAACACCGATCCCAAGAATACCCAAAGATTATGTTTAAAGAGGCTTCAGGTTGACAAAGCCATTTCTTTGCCAATCATAAATTTTAGTCCTATAATTTGTAGTAGAGAATCACAGGCTGAAGATCTCTGGTGTTAAGAACTTTGTTTTTGTTTTGTTTGTTGCTAGATTTGACATTTAGATAAGCAATTTTTTCAACTTTCTTAAGAAGAGCCATCATCTGGCTTTTCTTTGGACCCATACAATAACTTCTGTAGAGTCTTTTTGGTGTCACCAAAGGTTTATTATTGCTTCTCTTGACAAATGAGTGGTTTGCTGAACTTATGTGGGTCTAAAAACCTTAGAGCAATCACTGCCTGTCTTAATTCATAACTGTTTGATGATCAACATATTGACCACGTGTTTTTAATTTTTTCCACTTTACTTAGTATTGTTTAATGTTTGAATCTCATTTTATACTAACCAACCTAGGAGGATAATTTTTTTGTGAATTGTTAACATATAAAAAATACCTCTTCCACTGTTGGTGAACTTTCAGACTTTTATTGATTATGAACATTTCATTATAGGAAGATACAAAATATGTAACCCTGTTGATTTATTAGAATAAAAAAAAAATTTTTGATATTTTCATTTAGATGACATATAGAAAAACTTTATTGTATGTCTAATCTATTGACAGAAGTTCTTTAACAGGGCTGCTCCAACACGCATTCTCACATAATTACATTAACACATTTATAACATCTCTAAAATAACCAAAAAATTAAAAGACAAAACACCTCAGCAAATTATTTCAAAATTCTGTAATTCATTTGGTTGCATTAAAATAGATGAGCGAAGTGATTTAGCTTCCAGTAAACTTCAAGTAAGCCATTTAGATCAACTACTATGCATCTATTATGCAAAAACAAAGTGTGTAAATTCAGTTTATCAGACTTTAGGAAGACATTTATTTATCAAAAAGGTATTCAGTTAATGTAGAATAAAGATTTCACTCGATGCCTTTAGCTTTCAGCTCCTTCTTGACTCTGCTCAGGTAGGTCTCATCAGGATATCCAAAACTGTGAAAGAACAAAACCTAAATGTTTAATACATTAAACCGAACATTAAAGCAAAGTAAAGGAATAAAACCAGATACCCGTACCACTGTGGTCCTCCTGTCATGGATGTCTTGTGATGGATGTCATTCCAGGTCACTGCGTTCTCCACCCCAGTTGTCCTAGAAGTTGCAACAGTAAAAATCAGCTTCTGGTCAAAGGCTTTTTTCAGCAGGTGCAGAACTTCATTCCCCTCTTTGTTATCTGGAAGATATGCTGTTCTAGTAGTTGCTGCATAGTACTGTCCAGGCTTGGGATGATTTTCCTGATAGAATGGAAAAAGTCTGGTAAGTGATAGCCATTTCAAAAATACATGTTAGGTTCTTAATATAGGCAATATGAGCTGGTACTTTACCGTCTGTAATCCAGCAGGGATATAGTAGCTGATCTCTATGAAGCCACAGCCTGGGAATCCAGGGAGGGATGTATAGTTATGTTTTTTCCAACTCATTGTTCCATCAGGTTGGTTTCCCTTCACCACACCAAATACATCTTTGCATATAGGACAGATTGATCCACTGTGCTGCACTGCCCTTTGCAGGCAGCCTTTGCAGAATGCATGCTTACACTTCAGCTGTTCCTTATTAGTAAATCCGGACATACATACCGGTATATAGCATTGGTCATCTTTGCCGTCACCTTCTTTTCTCTCCCCTAAAATCTGTCCAATTGATGCATTCAAGGCCACGTTGCTCATCCTGGGTGATGTACCAACTGATACAGGTTTAAGATGATCAATGGGATGGTTTATCTTCTGCATTGCATTAAGGACTGCACTGAATTCATCTTGGCCTTTCTTTGGACCACAGACAATGACTTCATCAGAGGACATAGAGAGCAAAAGCTTATCCTTGTTTTTCTTGATGACTTTCAGTGCATCGCTCCACTGATCTGGATCTACAAACTTGAGGGGAATCATTACGCTTCCTGATTCAGCTAAGCAGCTCTGATAGAGCTCTATGAACTCACAGAGAGCCTCATTGGGTCTTCCAGCTTCAAATGTCACATGGACCTGTGCTGTGATTTTACTTTTATTGTTCCTCTCAATACATTTCATTTCCTCCTTATAGATGTGGCTCATGTACCAAAAGGGATCCACTGGCAGAAGACAACTTTCTTGAGCTGCACCTCCAGCCTTTATAAGGGGATTTTTTTGTTTGACAGGGAGGACCATGTCCTGAAAAGGGAAACAATAAATAATAAATCAATCTTTCAATTCTAATGAATATATTATCTGACATCAATACAACTGGGAGCTCTTACCAAGATTCATTCTTCATTGACATAAAAAAGACAATTATGTTTTTATTTTATGCTTTTGTGTTCTCAAGGGACTGACAGTGTACTGTATCATTTCCCCAAACTAATTTACTACTAATAAAAAGTATTACCTCTGCCAAGGAGGATATGTTTTAGTCAAGTTTGTGTGTTTGTTTGTTTGCCTGTGTATAGGATAACTTGGAAAGTTAGAGATTTTAATGACATTTTTACAAAAGATGCACCTCAGTGCAAGGAACAATCCATTAAATTTTAAGTGATGACCCACATCATAATCTGTATACAGGATTTTTTTTTTTTTTTAAGGATTCTCTAACGTTGTGAGATAAGGATATTTAGCAGAACAAGCAGTTCCCCACTGAACAAGAGGGTGGCAGCACTGACTATCAACAGCCTCAGTAACGTCTGAAAAAGTCCAGATGTATTTTACTGAAGACAAAAGGGAACATTGTTAGTTTGTTAGCAGTATTAAGCACAACCTGGGTGCCAAAAACGTTGAAATTCGGTCGCTGGATCTCTTATTTGTTTGACAATGTGAATCATTGTATTTTGACTGAAAATTTATGGGGGAAACACTTTTTATTTTACTGTAGATATTCACAGAATAATCAATAACCGTTTTTGCTTTATCGTATTAACAAATGTGAATTTGAAACACAACTATTCATCAATATATATTAACAAATATTTGCTTAAACATATGGCTACACAAACTGTCCATGCTGTCTTTTAACCAGACAGTAATGTAGATGTATGTTGATAGTATAAAAATAATTAATTTGAATTTTAAATAGGTTTTGCATTGTTACAGTGCAGTGAGCAAAGATGCTGTGAAAATGTCACATTGTTGGATTATAGTTATTAATAAGATTAAGCATATATTACATTTTACCTCCTTGTGCCTTTTCTCATCTTTGCCCCTCAATGAAGTTCTGACGTTCTTCTTTCTTCAAAAAACAGAAAACAAGATGAAAAAAATGATCATAAATAGTGAGAATCGCTCTACTAAAAGAAACTACGAGCACCTCCATTGGTTCTCCTCCATAGACGGTCCTGCATCACCAAGACTTTTCATCATCATGCTGGAATTAGGGCACAGGTCAACACTGATGTCTTTAGAACTAGCCGGCCGTTCAGAATCTTCCAAAGCCCATTTGGAATTCTGTGTTGCACTCAAGGTTGAACTGAGAACATTTTTATCTTCGTTGAAGTTTTGAGATCTTGCTGACCTAGCTGGCTCTTCAGGAGAGTCAAATTTCTGTGTTGCATTTAAAGTTGAACTGAGAACATTTTGACAATCCTGTGGCCCACAGACTGTCATTCCCTCAGAGGACATGGTGACTAAAAGCTTGCTGTCATTGTTATTAATGACTTTCAGTGCATCACCCCACCGATTAGGATCTACAAACTTCAGAGGAATAACTGAGGAAGTGGAATCAGACAAACACTTTTGGACGAGATCTGCAAACCTGTAGAGAGCCTCACTTGGATTCCCACCTTCATGTTCAGTGTTAAATGCCACAGTAACAGTTGGCATTATGCTAACTTTAGTTTCTTTCTCTATGCGTCTGATTTCATCTTTGTAGATCTGGCTGACATACCAGTAATGAGCCACTGGGACAACACATTCCTCTGATCTTGTTCTATGGTCTCTAGGAGAATTTCTTCCCACATCCATCTGTTCTTCAAACTGGATCTGCACCTTAATAAAAAAGTATAGTATATCCCTTGGGGCCTCGGATCCCTGGGGCCTGGGACTGGATCCGCTT